CCAGCCGTGGCCTTCAGCGACCACACCCTTGCTCGGTCCACTTCGGACATGCTAGTTAAGTCGCCGAATTAGCCTGTAGCCCCTTCACGGTTCTGGCCCCAAATTCGTTCCCAAACAGGTTCTGGGACTGTGATGCGGTGGGCCGAGAAACCCAAATCTCCAGAGTTCAGCGTCGGAATGAGGGGAAGGAAGAAGAGGGAACCTCCTGAATCTTCTCAGGCTCAGCATGACCTTCTCCTTCGGCGGAGCCTAGTTGGTCTCCACCAGGGTCAACAACAACGACCTTCTCTGCTTCCTCCCCCAGATCAGGTTGACGAAGAAAAGCGTCAACCTCCCTATCAATATCACCTGAGAAGCCTTCAGCAATCGGCTTCTCAGATTCTTCAGTAGGGTGTCCCTGAACCCCCCCTTCGGATCAGGAGTTCTTTGGTCCACCTCCATCTCTTGAGTTTCGGGAGGTGGAGGGGGGGTTTGAGGACGCGGAGCTTCCGGCGGAGGGGGAGCCCTCGGCGAGCGTCTACCTTCATCAGGCTCCCGTATGAGGATGCCCCCGGTAGGCCTCATCCCCGTCTGAAACTGACGAGGCCTCAGCACGGTTAACCTCCTCCTCCTCTTTGCTAAGGGCTACTCGTCCATTTCTTCAGATTCTGACAAAGATGGATCCTCAGAACGAGCAGGCGCCTTTCCTTCTCTTCTTTCGCCCCCTTCCTCAGACTGCAGAAAGGGGGGGGGGCAGCAAAGTGTGAGTAAAAAAAAAAAAAAAAAAAAAAGAAGGAGAAAACCAAGCAAGTCAGGAACTTACTGGAACCTTCGGCTGAGCTTCAGATGCGGAGATATCCCTCTCAGTAGCACCAGATGTCCCAACACCTCCTTCCAAGGAGTCGATTGCTCGGGACACGTCAGCTGCTGTCTGAGCAGCCTGTGCTTCCTCAGGTAATAAAGGCCGAAGGGGATCTCGCTTTTCCCACCAAGGCTTATGCTTGGTGTATTCGGCGGCAGCTTCGATCTGAAGTCCCGTTTCGTGCAGATGCAGCGGACGGTCCTTCGGAGCTGTGATCGCTGGAGCCCGGTCTAAAATGACTCGTTTAGCGTTCACCCCAAGCCGGTTATAGTCAACCCCCGAAGTAGCTTCGCTCAGCTCTGAAAAGAAAAGACGAAGGTTAGACTAAGGGAATAAGCATCAAAGATAAACAAAAATCTCATTCGGCCAACTCCCCCAGGGTTATTCTGCTTCTCGAAGAAACTCATTTGCTCATTGCTGGGATGACGAGCGGCATCAGGGTCCTCAGGGCCCAAATCCTGCATGTTCGGATCAGGCCTGGAGAGGTATCGGGGAGCCCCAAAAAAATAGGGATGCTCGGGATCAGCGGGGACTCTCACCCAGACCCATTGACCCCTCCAATCTTTGTCCGAGGAGTCGTTCGGCCACATAGTCAGATAATGGGGGCGGCTCTCTATTCGCCACCAGCCTGAAGACCCATGTTGGCCGTATGTGCTCTAAAGGTTTTGCACCAGCTGATGCATCTTTCGGAAGCAGTGCAAATTCGGCTCAACAGCAAAAAACCGGCACACCCAGAGATAAGTCATCACCCGCCGAATACTAACGGGTGTTAATTGGCACAGGGAGATCTTGTACTTTATTAAAATGTCCCTGACGAAAGGATCCAAAGGAAACCAAAGGCCGTATTGTAATTGCCGAGTGTACACCCCTATATACCCAGGAAGGGGACGGTGAATCCTGTCAGTCGGCGAGGGCATTCGGCACCAGTGCCCATCCTCTTCAAAAATGCCGTAGTGCAACTCAATTTGCTCGGCGAATCGGTAGGTTTCGGCATGCCGAACCCACCATGAGTATGGGGTATTTCTCACCATGGCGTCCTGGGCCTCGGCGTCCTGCCATTCAGCATGCCCAGGAAGCAGGTCCCAAAGCACAGGGGGCAAAAGCCTGCCCAGCCTGTTCTCTCTGCTCAGGTTGCTCCGCCTCGCCGACCTCGGCGTCCTGCTGAGGCGGCGCGGCGTTTAAAGGAACTGCCGGAATCCCCCTTTCCGGGTTTTCACCGGCTTGTTCCCCGTTCCAAACGTCGGCGCGGTCACGGGGATCCCCAACCTGACCCCGTCGACCCGGCTGACGCCTCCTTTCTCGAGCCATAATCAAATTCAGAGAAGGAAAGAAGGGAGAAGAAGAATTTCCCTAAAAAAGGCAAGAAAATCGAAAAAGCTCGAGGAAAATTACCTTCAAATTGGTCGGAATACGTTGGTCAAATCAGTGGAAGCAATGGATTTGAGTATCGAACTCGGATTCGAGAATGGTACGCTGGAAATTCGGAGCGAAGATGGGTTTGCGCGAGAATTTGAGTGTAAGTTGGTGAAGAAATGAGGTTGAAATGCGAATCAGGCCTTATAATTCTAGGAAGGAGAATCCCAAAGGTCGAAAAGTTCAAATTTCTCTTAAATGCCTCCTTAATTAACCGTTAAACACTCTCTCTCTTGATTAACCGCCCACTATCCACTCCACTTCCTGTTAATTATCCAAATTACAGTTATTTAATTAATAATTGTTTAAATATTTAAATCTTTTGATTTAATTAAATCATTTACTTCCCTCCATTTCTTATTGGATTCAAACCCGACCCGTCATCCTTCCAAATCGGGTCTGGGGGGCAAGTTGTTTGGGTCTAATTTATCTAATTGGGCCTAGTCATGTATTTGGGTCCAATTATCTTATTGGGCCTGGTCACTAAATGACTCAATATTCCAAGGTCAAGGCCCGAGCCTCCAATCAAGCCAAGTCAACCAAGAGTCCTTTGGTCCGAATTGCCATGGTCAGCCCATGACTATTTTAGGGCCCAATTACTCTCCTCTCATCATGTGCAAAGGTATAAAATCCTTCAATTCATTCATTTGTACATTAAGACACAAAAGCCTCAAGCACTAAATCTCTTGCATAACTTTCTCTCTCTAAACACCGTTAGACTTTGGCATCGGAGGGGTCTTCCTCGGATTTACCCCCGAGGCCAGTTTACGTGTTTTAGTTGTGCAGGAAACGTTCGACCTATCATCAATTGGACCGAACCAATCTTCAGCCACTTCAGCGGGCCTTCGGCAAGGCCCCATTGTTTTCATCCGAACACATCCAATAGAAAAATTAAAGATCTTTTAAAATAAAACCCTAAACTTAATGTGAGGCAATCAAATATCAATTTCTAAGTACTCTTCTAATCTTGTTATTAGAGATGACTTGAATCACAGCAGCTGGAGAGGATCTCGGGAAGCTCGTAAACATATAAAACACAGATTGTTGATGAAAATACTCATCGTCGGCTAACTTTTTTGGTTTGTATCCGTGATGGGGCTTCTTATCGACGTCAATGGATAGTGTTTCCAACACCATTGCATTTTGTAAGATAAACTGTAAAAATTCAATTACTTGTTTGCTACCTTTATCATGAAATAAGCCAACAATATTCACCGTCTTAAGGTGTCTTGATAAACAATTACAGCTTTTGTAAATGGGATTTGACTCCCAAAAATTCTTCTCTTTATCATAATCATGTTTGACGCCATTGTACTTCCGCTACAATATTGAAATAAAGTAAATAAATGAGCTTCTATATACATTATATATATTTATTGGAAAAATGGAATCTAAAAATCCAACCTTTGCGAGGTCTGACAAAAAAAAATCCAACATTTAATTAATCTCACAAAAATCCAACCTTTGCACCCCACCTTCTCCTACAGATTCATTACCTGTTGATGACCGATTCTTGTAAGTTATGTGACACGTGTCAGTCATTAATTGGTCAATTATTTTTTTAATTATTAAAAAAAATATTAAAAGAAAAAAAAACAGAAAAAAAATTAAAAACCCCACCACCAGCCACCTTCCCTTGCCCCCGCACCACCCCAGCCACCTCCCCCACTGCCTGACAACTTCCCCCCAGCCCCAACCAGCCCCACCATCGGGGTCGTCGGCTTCTGACGATCTCCCCCCACCCCCACCCCTTGCCGCAACCTCCCCAACCACCAAAACCCCCTACGAATCTAAACCCTAACCACCACACCAAACACCCTATTCGACAAAACCCACCAAAAACCAGCCCCACCCTCCCCACCGCCCTCCCGCCACCTTGCACCGGAACCCAGCAAACCCGTCTCGCACAGGAACCCAACAAACCCATCTCTCCCCCCCCCCTCGACAAAACCAACAACCATCAGCTCCACCAATTTCCGGCCAACACCGTTGCCCCTACAAATCCCCTGTGCCACTACATCACACGCACAACAACTAACCACAAAAAACGCAACCAATTTTCGGCCAACACCGTTGCCCCTGCAAACCCAATTAAAGCGGCAATCAGTCCCTGCTCAACCCCCAAAATCGCACCACCTGAAATTGTAGTCTAAGCTCCGCCGTCCATCCCAACACGCACTTCACTGTCTTCATTTTTGAGGGTTTTTCGATTCAATCTTCGATTTGGTTGCCTGATTAATCTTTGATTTGTGAATTTCGAGCCTAGGTGGGGTTGGTGGTTTCGATACTGGGTATGGGTGAGGTTGGGTGAGGGAGATGATGGGGTGGTGGTTATGGTGGGCATAGAAGAGAGATGGGGAGGTAAGTGGTGGCAAAGGTGGTGGACTGGTGGTGGTGTAGAGAGGAGAGAGAAAGAAGAGGAGTGAGAAGGAAAGTGAGAATTAAAAAAAAAAAAAAATAACCTGCTCAACAGGTTAAAAGTCAAATGGATTTGTCAAAGAAGATGGGGTATAAAGGTTGGATTCACTAGTAGAAAAAAGCTCATTTGCGTCGCCATATTTGCGTCACTCATTCTAAAGAACGAAGCAAATGTGTATTTTTACCCTCCTTTAAAGTTATTTGCGTCGCTTGTTATTAAGAAGCGACGCAAAAAACAAGTGTATGTTAGCTTTCTATCATTTGCGTCGCTCCTATTTATTGAAGCGACGCAAATAATAAACTTATTTGCGTCACGCATTTACTGACAAGCGACGCAAATAAGGCAGTGAATAAATTGCGTCACTCCTTTAATAAATGAGCGACGCAAATAACAAATTTTTAGCATTTCAGATTTTGTTATTTGCGTCGTATTTTTATTATAAAGTGACGCAAATAACTCTGTTACACTTTAGGTTATTCTTTTTGACCTTAGATTTTCACGCCTACCTTTCACTAATTCACTAAACATAAAGAAAAAAAACAGAGTTGCAACAAATTCAACATCCAAAATCGACCCTTCAATCCAACAAATTCGCCCAAAAAACACCCACAAATTCGCTCAAAAAACTGCAATTCCCCAACAAATTCAACATCCAAAATCGCAATCAAGTTCAACACTCATAATCGGCAGCAAATCCGAGCAATTTCGAGCAAAAATTTAGACCAAAAACCCTAATTTATTCGAATCCTTGAACCCCAGAAAAATTGATTATTTTCGACCAAAAATCCCCCATTTCGAGCAAAAAATGTACTTAATTCCATACGAATTCGAACCCTAGAAACCCCAAAAAATTCAATTAAAAATCCTGCTGAAAAAATTCGAGCAATAACTGAAATTTTCGAGTGGAAAAATCGCTGAATTTTCGCCCCCAAAAACCCGAGGAAGTTCAAGCAAATTACAGCAATGTTGAATTTTTGAATTTTCGAGTAGAAAAATCGCTTAATTTCGCCCCCAAAAATCGATTTCGGCTCGACATTGTTGAATTTTTTAAATCAAGTTCACCTATGGTAAGATTGCTTCTATTTATGTTCAATCTTTTGATGGTAGATAGAATGTAACATTTAACTTGAACAATGACTTAGTTTAATTTCAAGTTTAGTGTTAGTTCACTAATTAGAAATTATATGGCAGATTTAATTGAATTTTTATAATTTCAGTCATAATAATAATTATAATACACATAATAATAATTAAGAACACAATTACTAGGTCATCTGATAATGGAATACACATAATAATTCTTGGCTAATTGCATTGAAAATTGGAAATTTATGTACTTAAATTGACTGATAAATTGCCCAAGAGAACTTTCTTGGAATAATTATGGATGGGTGTACCCAGAATTCCGCTTTCGCCGTCTTTACATATGGTAGGATAATTTAATTACTATAACTCCGTTACTGCAATTTGAGCATATAGCCTGTTAAACACCCAAACAAGTGAAATAATTTTCAGTTACAAAATTCAATTTACAGAATACTAGAAATAATCATGCATGTAGATGTTGCATGTGATAGTAGTGTAGGAAAATTAATCAAAACTTGGTTGTTATGGGTTTAATTATTGTAACTGGAGGGTATTTGAAGGGGCAGAGTTTTATATACTACCAAGTATGCCACAAATTTCAGTTTCAGAACTGATGCTTGTGAAAAGTGTGCTATGTTGGGTTGATAAAACAGTGGCTCTAAGCGTGGACAAATGGTTAGCTTTATATTTTCTCAATTACTTTATAAAAGACTAGGAACTATAAAGTGAAAAGAGGAAAAGACGTTGGGTACGTGATATTGGAGTATCATCATCCATTTTAGTCCATCTAATTATTAGGAATCTTAAAAGATAAGCTGGTTGGATTTAGTCCATTGAATGCTAATGGAGTTATCTTAAAACTAGTTTCCAGTTTCCTTGACTGTTTTTCCAATCAAAGTTTTCTGTTTTGGCTACCTCTCTTAAAACTGGCAAATCTGATACTGATTTGTTAGTGAGTTGGTGCTTGGCAAGGCAGTAGGCAAACTCAGCTTATGTATTAATCCGTATGTGGTTCCTTATTTAACCGCTCTTGTTTGGCATATGATTGGTTTTTGAAGAAGGCATTATTAACCCTAGTTTTTGTAGGGACTGTTTTCCGTGAGCCAATCTTGTGTAAGAACATTCCTAGGATTGTTTCTGGTATGTTTATTTGCCTTTCAAATCTTTCTTACCGTCATGCTCTTTTAAATCGTAACACTGTCACTCATGTCCTTTGGCTTCTTTTGTATTGGCAGACATGCTTTTGGTGATCAATATCGAGCCACTGATACACTCATCCCAGGTCTTGGAAAGCTTAAATTGCTATTCGGTATGAATTTAGACCCTGTGATCTCTTTAATTGTGTCTGCATTTTATAGTCAATTCTCAGTAGGAAAGCAGCACAGGTAAATCACTGTCTACAGAATATAATATAATCCTTGATAAGTGGATTTTATTATCATGCAGTCCCAGAGGACGGAAACTGGAAAGGATCATGATGTACACGACTTTAAAGGGCCTGGAGTCCCATTGGTAATGTATAACATTGATTCGGTATGTCTTATTGCTCTAGCATTTATTTCACATGGCAGATTAAGTTGGACCTAGCATTTAACACTCGTTTCAGGTCTTCAAGTTTTACACCATGATTGGCTAATAAGAAATGCCGAATAACAACTTTTATGTCACATGGCAGATTAAGTTGAATCAACTATGTTGGTTTAATATATGTAATTTTTTATGGCAGATTCTTAATTATGCGGAAGTGAATTCCACAAGTTGCTCGAGGTTCTAGTTGTGGACAAACGATTAAGGCGGTAGTACGCATACGAGATTGTCTTCACTTGTGGTATATATATCTGAACCATTCTCATTAGGAGTAAGTCTTGAATAGTCCCCGGTTTGGGACTGTTCTTGAATGTTCTATCTCATTTAGGTGATAACTACTTGAATTGTTTTGGGTCTAAGAAGATCATGGCTCACTATTTCCCGATTTGGGACTGTTCTTCAAATGTGTAGTGCTTTTCGAAGTTTTAAGGCATTAAGTGGACAATCTAGGGGAAGTAAATTGACATGGCATTTGGGACAGGTTACCTTAATTTCTTACCCTAACTTTTAGTTTCTTAATAATTGAAGTATAACAATTTAATTCAACTTACAAATATATTACATGTAGTGTCCTCAACAATTGGGTGGACGTGAGTGTGGCTACTACGTCATGCGTTATATGTACGAAATACTTGAACATCACCATAGCAGTGAAGATCTTATTCAGGTATGAGTTGTCAAATATTTCATTTTTGTTTGATAAATACAATTTGATGTTAGCTACAATCTTGAATTAAAACTTTCCTCTTGTATATTTGTTGTGTTGATAGGATTTTTCAAGAACGTAACTACACCGTACACCGAGGAGGAGATAAATGAGATCCGAGATATTTGGGCAGAGTATTTTATATGTAATGTTGAACTTTAGATTTACCACTTAGCGCATGTTTGACTCTTGTTTTGGATTATAGGCTTGAAATGAAGTAATTTGGTTAATTGGTGTTGGGATGATGAGTATAATGTCTATGATATTGAGATGTAAATTATTGGACAGGTTGTTAATATAATGTCGTCATTCCCAATTTTATGGGTAGGCCAAATTACAAAGGAGACTCTGCCGAAATTTACATTTGCATTATTCAATAATATTGCATTTTAATTTCAATTATATTAGCGTTAGCATATTACTTTATACCTAGGAAAACAGGTACTACAAACATATACAAGGCAATTATTATATTATAATTAAAAAAAAAAATCACCTCATTTGCGTCACTCATTAAACAAACAAGTGACGCAAATACAGCAGTTTTGTATTGTCTACTCAGTCATTTGCGTCACTCCTATATAAACAAGTGACACAAATAACAAAAAATAAATTAATTGGAAGAGTCATTTGCGTCGCTTGTTTATAAAGGAGCGACGCAAATAACAAAAAAAGTTTATCTGAAGAGTCATTTGCGTCGCTTAAATATAAAGGAGCGACGCAAATGACTAAAAATAAGTTTATCAGAAAAGTCATTTGCGTCGCTCTTTTATAAAGGAGTGACGCAAATAACAAAAAATAAGTTAATCAGAAAAGTCATTTGCGTCGCTCCTTTATAAAAGAGTGACGCAAATGACAAAAAATAAGTTTATCAGAAAAGTCATTTGCGTCGCTTATTTATAAAGGAGCGACGCAAATGACTCAAAAGTCATTTGCGTCGCGAGCAGTTGCGTCGCTCATAGAAGCGACGCAAATACACTATAAATGAGCGACGCAAATAAGCCTTTTTCTACTAGTGATTTTTGTGAGATTAAACGAAGGTTGGAATTTTATTGTCAGACCGCCAAAAGGTTAGATTTTTAGTTTCCATTTTTCCATATTTATTTAGTTCAAAACAAAAATCTATTTTGAAAAATTATAGTAAGTTATTTCAATTATCAAGTGAAAAATTATAGCAAGTCTCAAACGAGTATGATAAATATGTAGCATAATCAATAGCACAAACTAATCTATTGATAGCAATTTAGGTACATACCGACTGCCTTGTTGTATTAATGGTCAAGCTCTCAAGCTCGGGGCAATTTTGAAGCATGCTTGCTAGCCCGGGAAGTTCCCATTGCTCAGTATCGATATCCAAAGTTAAACTCTTACAATTGATGAATGAAATAGATTGATATTCCGCAACAAGAACCTATTATTCATCCATAACAAATGTAAATTAAATTCACTAGTAGTGTCCCAAGGATGCAACAAATTAATTACATGGCATTGTGCAAAATAAAGGTAACAACATCACTATAAATTAACAAAATGTATAGTTGTGCATTTGGATCTTGCGCTAAAGGGGCTAGTTTAGCGAAATTATTTACTCTTTGAAAAATAAGTAATAACAGAATATATATATATTACTCACTCAAGTGAAACTATTAATAATACTTGTATTATTTTTCAATAACTTAACAATGCTCATTATAATTTTAAACAAAGTGAAAAAAAGAAGATAAATTTCTAGCTATATGCTAATTTTAAGCTACAACTTCCATGTCCATGTTTTTAGGAAATACTAAAGTTTATATACAGTTTGATCAAAGTCTAATAATACCTCGATAAGTTGATCAAATACAGAGTACAAAGTACGTACATAATTTAGGTTAAGAAAATAATAACACAAGAATATTATAAGCTAAGATATAAGATAGGAGAGTATAGATAGAAGATACATCAGTACATTATTTCATTGTGATACTAACTATTATCGATCTCTAAATTATTATATACATCCGGTGCATAGCACATCTATAGTCAAGACAAGCATAAGATCAAATAATAAATAAAAAAATAACAAAAAAAAAAGGCTAAAATGAGGTACTCGCCTGAAGAACCCAAGTCCCTAAAGTAAGTTTCTTCACATGTCGAACCGTTCGTAGGATCTTTATCGACTTAATGTTAAGCTTATTATTATTATAAGAAGCATTCTCTTCGTCGATACTATCATTATCACTGTTACTGTCACCATCAATGTAACTGTCGCTATCACTATCACTATCACTATCACTATCGCTTTTACTATGATCATCGTTTATATTAAATCCAAGAGTAGCCTTGACCAAGCACGAAAGATTCATAACACTAAACTTTTTATAGTACATATACCCTGAAAGACTCAATTCTTCAAGAAAAGGGGCCAGAATTTGCAACATATCACCACATTTTCTATCTCTAAAATATTCCGAATCTAATCCGCAATTTTGTAGAATCAATTGCCTCAAAGATGAAGAAACTATTTCTAGTCTTTTGATTCCTCTGCAATCAGCCAATTTCAAGTATACTAACAAAGGACATCCCACCAATATTTTTTGCAACAAGATATCCGTCAAATCGGCTTGTTCTATGGACAAACTTGTCAAGGATTTGCAATTAATCTCCCGAGTAAAACCCTCAAAGTTAACATTCTGTAAACTCAAAGTGGTTAAAACCTCGTTTCGAAACAAGAAACTAGGCAAACAACACGAGGGGCTGCTAAATAATAATTCGAGGTTTTTTACTTTATGATCAAGTGCTAATCGTATCCATGAATCCAATTTCTGCTTTTGAAACTGATAATTACGAGAGAACCAATAATAATCAAAGTCAAAGCAACACCTCTCGAAATTGTTGCGATTGCGATATCTCAAGACTTCATCGACATAAAACATAAACTTGTCACTGTCATCTGATTTCTTAAAGTCAGATTGCCGGAAAACAAGGGAAGGAAGAGAGGACCGTATCAAGGAAGACCAACCTTTCGAGACGAACCCGGCTCGATACATGGCGTCGAAGGTCGAGAGAAAAGAAAAAATATGGAGAAGAACGGGATCCGGTAACTGGTTTATTCGATCAATTTCTTCCGAAGGTTGTTGTCCTAGTCTTTGTCTTTTGAAAAGATTATTAGTTGTAGGCCGCCATTGATGTTGAGGCCGATGCCGCCATCGAAGTTGAAGTCGATGTCGCCAGGCTAACCATTGATGTTGAGGCCAAGTCCGCCATCGATAATGAAGCCGATGACGCCATAGATGTATTTTTTTATGTTGAAGCATTAGGGGTTTTAAGGCCATTGATGAATAACTGTTGTTGTAAATTGTAATTTGGGTTTATGAAGAGAGAGGATTTTATATGATCATCATGGAATATTTGGAAAGAGGATAAACTATGAAATCAAGACCGACTCAATTTCAAGGCCAATCTCAAGGTTTTTTTTTTTTTTTTTTTTTTTTTTTTTTTTTTTTTTTTTTTTAAAGGCAAAATAAAATTATTTTTATAGAAATTATTATTATTATTATTATTATTATTATTATTATTATTATTATTATTATTATTATTATTATTATTATTATTTTTTCGAATAGAAATTATTTTGATTGAACTTAATTTTTTTAGTGAAACTAGTTTAGGTACCGTGTCATGCACGGTGATTTTAAAAAAAAATTAAAAATAGTAGCGACTTTTCAATATAAATTGTTATTTTACAAAAATTTTTAAAAAATACCCCCTCCGTTTCATAATGTTAGTCCATATACTATTTTGGGCGTTTCAAAAAGATCTAACCATGTTGAATATATTTCGTTTATAACTTGACTAGTTTTGTGCCCGTGCGATACCCGGGTTGTTTATTGAACATTAAGATAAATTTTTAATCAATACATATACCAAATTTTAAAATATATTATATATACAAAATTAGTTAGGAATTCCTTGTAAAAAAAAATTAGGAATTGATGCGCTTTTGTGACGATTTGCTTTCTATTGATGGAAATGTTCGATTTAAGACATTAAAAAAAATTAGCTAAAAAAAATTATATAAAAATAAATGTTCAAAAGTTCGTTAGGTTGATCCGAACCCAAAACTTTGGGCAAGAGTTGAACATTTCTTAACTCGTAACCTGAAATGACCCAGTTCAAGATGACTCATGACCCGACCCTAATTGACAGGTTTACATAGTAATAAAATTCTATTATTAGATTAATTGTGAAGTGTATTATTTTAACCAATTAGTATATGTTAGAAATGTTTTACGCTTTGAATTACTTCCTTCCCTCAAAAAAATATTATGATATAATTTTTTTTATATGATAATTTTTTAGAATTATAATCTAATATTTTTTCGAATAAAATTATAATTCAAGTTGTACATTTGAAATATTGGAATTTTATCGAAATTAAATCTCTAAGCTAACAATTTTCCTAAAATTCTATCCAAATAGAATTGTAAACTAACTTTTTTATTTTATGAAGTCTATTTATATCTATCCGGGCGACACTTGGCGAAAAGTATATATTAGTTATATGATTTTTTTTGGAATTAATTGATTGTGGATTAAGGACATGACTCTAAGTAAGGAAATTTTTACCTTAAATTATGCAATTATAACTTGTGTTTTCCTAATAAAAATTAAAAAAAAAAAAAGTTAAATAAGGTAAACTAAAAGGGAATATTTAATTTAATTTTTTTTTTTTTGGTTTTTGTTTTTTTAAGGAATAAAAGGGAAAATGAAGATTAAGATAGGATATTTATTTGAAAAGAGTATGGACTATGGAGAGAACTAGGGTAGCTTGGATGCGGAAATTAGGACCAACTTTAAATTTAGAGTCTTTATTTTTTTTAAGTTTTTTTTTTAATAGAATTGTAAACTAACTTTTTTATTTTATGAAGTCTATTTATATCTATCCGGGCGACACTTGGCGAAAAGTATATATTAGTTATATGATTTTATTGGAATTAATTGATTGTGGATTAAGGACATGACTCTAAGTAAGGAAATTTTTACCTTAAATTATGCAATTATAACTTGTGTTTTCCTAATAAAAATTAAAAAAAAAAGTTAAATAAGGTAAACTAAAAGGGAATATTTAATTTAATTTTTTTTTTTTGATTTTTGTTTTTTTAAGGAATAAAAGGGAAAATGAAGATTAAGATAGGATATTTATTTGAAAAGAGTATGGACTATGGAGAGAACTAGGGTAGCTTGGATGCGGAAATTAGGACCAACTTTAAATTTAGAGTCTTTATTTTTTTTGCTAAATTAATGTAAGTTTTTTTTTTTGAATAGAGTAATTATTTTTACTACGGAATTGAAATTATGTTTTTTTTTTAAAAAATAATTAAATTATTATTCGAACTAAATTATTATATATATATATA